GGTAGCTACAACTTGGCTGGGTGATGTCCATGGCTAGACAGTGGTAGCTACAACTTGGCTGGGTGATGTCCATGGCTAGACAGTGGTAGCTACAACTTGGCTGGGTGATGTCCATGGCTAGACAGTGGTAGCTACAACTTGGCTGGGTGATGTCCATGGCTAGACAGTGGTAGCTACAACTTGGCTGGGTGATGTCCATGGCTAGACAGTGGTAGCTACAACTTGGCTGGGTGATGTCCATGGCTAGACAGTGGTAGCTACAACTTGGCTGGGTGATGTCCATGGCTAGACAGTGGTAGCTACAACTTGGCTGGGTGATGTCCATGGCTAGACAGTGGTAGCTACAACTTGGCTGGGTGATGTCCATGGCTAGACAGTGGTAGCTACAACTTGGCTGGGTGATGTCCATGGCTAGACAGTGGTAGCTGCAACTTGGCTGGGTGATGTCCATGGCTAGACAGTGGTAGCTGCAACTTGGCTGGGTGATGTCCATGGCTAGACAGCGGTAGCTACAACTTGGCTGGGTGATGTCCATAGCTAGACTGGGGTAGATACAGCTTGGCTGGGTGAGGTCAAGCTTTTCACCAATCGTTGTTTTTTAAATCTATAATTTTCTGTAATTGCTAATTTTTATGTGAAGCGCCGTGAGCCTAGCCCTAGGCTGGGGTACAGCTCTATTTAAAGTACCCTTAATAATAATAATATATACTTTAATAGTATAATTAAATTGAATATTGTTAATATTACTAGAATTTGGTATCATTTTTCTCTGTATACTGGCTTTCAGTCCTTTGTTATGTATTGTTCATCTAATGAGCCAAATATTGAAAACATCGGTTACTAACAAATTGTTGTTCGTCCTATGATTTGTATCCATCTGTTCTTATTGCCACCAATAACAAATTGTCTTCCCTGTACCATTTAACGGTACCAATACTAGAGCTTGTCAGTGGCGTAGCTAGAGGGTGCGGGGTTGCGGACCGCACTGGGTGACGCCATCTCAGGGGGTAACACCAAATTGAAAAAAATGCATATTTAAAGGTCTCGGTCTGACCAAATTTCATAAAAGGGTAACCGATCACACGTGAATTTTCCACACGTGTAACCAATCAAAGTGCGTGCTTTATTAAAAGTTCAAGGTTGATGCGTTGGAAATGAGGTGACCTTATAATACAGGCCTGCTCAACTCAAAATGTAAGGTGCGCCGAAATACTTTATGAAAGATGTGTGTGGGCCGAAAGTAAATAGGACGGGGGGGGGGGGGAGGCTATTAAGAAAATAAACATAAAAAAGAATATTTCATTACTTCGCGGAGCGCAAAGTGGGTGCTAGCAGGCCGCATGCTTCCCGCAGAAAGTAAAGAGTACGGGGGGGGGGGAAGCTATTAAGAAAATAAACATAAAAAAGAATATTTCATTACTTCGCGGAGCGCAAAGTGGGTGCTAGCAGGCCGCATGCTTCCCGCAGGCCTGCACAACTATAATTAGATCTGAAGAACACCGTTTTGATCATGATCCAACGCAGGTTGAAGTGTTCGGTAACTTTCCTAGTGACCGGAAGTTGCATTGATCTAAATTCTGAGAGATGGGATCGTCCATTAATTACGTCAACACTTTTTACGCAATTTTCTACCCCCGCCCCCTTGTCAATCAACAACTGTCAAACTTTCGATGACTCCCCCTCCCCCTATTTAATTATGTCAACATTTTATAACCCTCTCCCCCCCCCCCCCCCAAAAAAAAAAAAAAAAAAAAAAAAAATTAAAATATAAAAAAATTTTAAAAAAAAATTAAATTTATTTTATTTTTTTTTTAAAAAAAAAAAAAAAAAAAAAAAACAACAAAAAAAAGAATTATAATATAAACAGATTTTTAAATACGTTTTACTTTGTGCTGATGTATTTTTAAAACACAAAAATGTAGAAAAAACATTTCATTACATCTTTAGCTTGTTCATCAACAAGTTTAAAAATTTTTACACTTACATTTTATAATGCAGAATCAATGACATGTTGTTAAAGACTAAATATCATTGTTTGTAAAAGTATAAATATGATTATTGTCAGTATAGTTGACAATTATAGCATAGTTTCTAGCTGCTATTATCTTCCCATGGAGTAGCGAGGTGTTGCTCTATCGTAACAATGGGCATCAGGGACATCATTTGGGTAGGGCAGGGGGGGGCATTTGCACCCCCCCCCACCCGATTTTGCTGGTTACTTAAATTGATATGTACTGTGGCGCCTCCAGTAATAAACAACTTAACAAGCCGACCAAGTTTTGGTTTTGTCCCCCTCCCTTCCCCGGAAAAAACCCTGAAATGACGCCCCTAATGGACATATTCTATCCTAGCTGATTTGTCATTTTCATCTTGAGAAACTGATATTACAGACAAGTCAACGGCATCCTTATCTAACCTTTCAGCACTTAAAAAAGAAGCATTGTCAGTGTGAGCAATAATTGCCATAAGCTCCCTCTGTCTTTGAGTTGGTGTAGCTGTTGTTGAACACAGATAAGTTGTTGTTTTTTGTTAATTGAAAACCGTGTACAATGATGTGTTAATCATTCTAGGGAGCGGATTAAGAGAAAAATAACAGGTGCAGAGATGCCAACTTTTGACTTCTCTTGCACTAACAAAGTGTGCTAACACTCTGACCAACCATGTGCAGTGCACAGAAAGACACACATTAAATAAATATTGCATTGTTAAAAGCCTAAACATATATGACTTTTTACATTCGTTAAATTGTTTAAAATAATGTAAGAACCAGTCCATTTTAAGATTAAAATCTTAATAGAAAAAACATGATTGTTGACGTCAACTAATATAACCCCCCCTCCCCCTTTTCAACAACTGTCAAACATTTCAACCCCCCCCCTTCCCCCTATTTTGTTGACGTAATTAATGGACGCCCCAAATAAAGCTTTCCATTGATACCAAATACGATGTGGTCGGGCGATTCTAAGTACATGTTACAGATCTTAAATTCATTTACCTCCCGATTGTGTTCTTGTCAGTGTTATACTGTGGACTTCTTTTAATAAGATAAAAATCAAGCGTGGAAATCCGGGAAAAGGGGGGGGGGGTGGGGGGCCCCAAAAAATAAAATTAAAAAGAAAAGTAAATTATAAGTAACTTAACAGCGCAATGGAAATAGACGCACGGCTACCACCAGTAAAGGTTATGATGCCATTAAATTTGCAACACTAATTCCTAAATTTGCAGCTAAGGATATTGACTTGTATTTTTCAGTTTGAAATAACGACACAAAACCTTAACACAACAGAAAATCGTTGTTCTACCTCAGTTGTCGGGAAATCGTGCCTCGCGAGCCGCATGCGGCCCTTTAGTGACCTGAGTGCGGCTAGGCCAGTCAGCCACAAATCGGTTTTGACTCCGACAAACATGGTTCTTGACAAGAAATTTGGCTCTCAAAATTTGTTTAATCGCCCCACTGCTGATTTTTGGCTCTTTTGACTCACGAGTTTGCTGACCACTGGTCTACCTTACTGCAGCTGGCTCTGAATGGTCGGACAGCCGACATTTTTCTATCATTGAACGCTGAAGAGCGTGTGGATTGGAAGCTAAAGTCGTTAATATTTCAAGCTTATAATGTGTCCCCGAAGCATACCGTAAAAAATTTTAGGGAGTTGTTAAAAAGTGATGGCCATACACACGTTGAGTTTCTTAAGAGGAAAGGAACGCCTCCTGGAAAAGTGACTTCGTGCAAAGATTATCGACACAGACTTCAATAAACTCGAGAACCTCGTACTGGCGGAGGAGTTCAGGAATTGTGCTCGTGTTGGCGGATGGACACATAGTGTAGACCGTGGCGGAGATGATGTGCATATGGCACCAGTGTTGGCTGACGACTTCACCATCTCGCATCAATTCCCCGAGAGCCAATTTTTGACACAAAACAAGACAAGCTCCATAGAGCAGCTGTGTCAACGTGTCGTGCACTTCAAGAAAGATCACACAAGTCTGGAACGAAAAAAATCAAGTCCAAAGGACTTACGTTCTTATTTTAATAAGAAAGATCATGCTTTGGGAACACAAGATGAAAACGAATGAGAATGAGTGACCACGAATACATGTGACACACTTTCAGTAGAGATGTTTGAATGATTCTTTGGTGGCTTGGAGTGATGCTGTTCTTCACACGGACTATTTGCTGCACACATCTCAATTGTATTTTATAATTTTTAGCTCATGTTTTTTTAGAGTAGTTTTATGTCTTTTTAAATCATCAGTAGTGCGTGGGTTGGGGAGGGGGGGGGGAGGGGGAGGGTGTTGAATCACCACAATATCAACCGGGTACTTTTATGTCTTTTTAAATCATCAGTAGTGCGTGGGTTGGGGAGGGGGGGGGGGAGGGGGAGGGGGTTGAATCACCACAATATCAACCTGGTACTCCGTGACTTAAAGTTTCCTCCATTTACAGAATTCTGAGACTCTTATATGGAATAACTGTCCGGATAGAACCGTATGCGGAAATTTTTAGGAAATACATTTGTTCAGAGGAAAAGTTTAGGATGGAAGGTTGTTCGAAGTGAAATTTGTTCCAGCGTAAATGTGTTTACCATTCTTTAGGTTCTGGCGGACTCGCATCTGATTTGAATACGTCTCCACATGACCATAAACATCAGGTTGGTGTCCGTGCAGGGATCGGTCTAAATATGAAAGATGTGGTGGAGCGAGTCAGAACCTAAATGGGCTGTTGTGCCACTGACGATGATGTCTACATTGAAAGATGTGGTGGAGCGAGTCAGAACCCTAAATGGGCTGTAGTGCCACTGATGATGATGTCTACATTGAAAGATGTGGTGGAGGGAGTCAGAGGGAGTCAGAGTTCTAATTGGGTTGTAGTGTCATTGATTAAGATGATGGAAAGAATCGCAGAATCCTTGATACATGTTTTTCTAGTTGATACATATATGAGATACAGATATATACATAAAGACAACTAAAATATTTGGTCAATTTTATAGTTTTGATTAAGTTAGCACAATATTTATTGCATGATATTTTCGAGAGCATTCAACAAACACAAAATATTCAAAGAAATGTTGTTTTTTTATATATAATAGTTCTTTTGAAGTTAGTTCACAATGTGCCTCTACGTGCGATTACGTCGTCTGCGAGTGCAGGTAGCCAGTGTGACACCATTATATGATCTGGCTCTACAGCTACACCAACTACCATCTGTCAACGTCACAGTTTGACCATTTCCAAGAATGCCACCTCCTGGTAGGGCACAGTTAGGACCTGTGAATGTATTCAACTTTTATGTGAATGTATTCAACATCTATGTGAATGTATTCAACTTTGATGTGAATGTAATCAAATTTTATGTGAATGTGGGCACATGTAGTTTTCTTTACTGTTTTTAACGTTGTGGCCATGGGCGCCCGCATGTAGGGGCAAGGTGGGGCACTTGCCCCCCACCTGGATTGATTGGATAAAAAAAAATTAGACAAAAATAGACACAAAATGTATTAAAGTAAAGAGAAAATAAAGAGAAAGTAACTAAGCTGATGTCCTGTCCGTTCGTTCACCATACAAATACGCTACAGTAAATTAAAACTACATTAAAACATTGCTAAAAAAATTGTGCCCCCCCACCCCCTGGAAAGTTAATTGATTTTTTTGCCCCCCCCCACCCCCTAAAAAGTTTTCTGCGGGCGCCCATGGTTGTGGCTTATAACTATACATCAGCTGCAAAGACTGGCTGTCACATTGGTAATCTCATATTTTAGCGTTCTAAATTATAGAAAGGCCATTGAGTCAAAATACCCAGATGTTGACAATTCGTTTAAGCAAACGCCTGAAAGACAGAAGAGCTCTCAATCTAAACCACAAATGTAGCAATAAAAATGAAGATTTTTTTTTTCAAAAATGATTGCCACCCTCATCTACCAACTCACCGTTTGGGCAAACACTACAACACTGGCTCGGATCTCTCACAGCGTCAACACAGTTGGGCTGAGCACACAAGATGCTGGCACACGAAACTTGACCGCTGTAGTCACACCAGCAAGGTTCACATGGACCCAACTGGAACGATTCCCCAGCCTGTGGGGGGGGGGAGTATGATGTTAATATAATTAAACTCCAATTAAATGCCTTGAAAGATGGAAAGGGTCAGCAGCTGTAACTGTAGTTTGTTTAGTGTACTGTTTCTCAGAGTTCCGTCCCATTAAGTGTGGAGTTATCTAAGCCTTAAGGATGAGGGCGCTGGCTGGCAAGATATATGAAAGGTGTTGATAACTAAAGTAATTTTTACTATGTTGATTCATTCACATTAATGGGAAGTTGGGAAATTCCCTGGTATTGACGCGTGATTTCTTATTATATAATTAATTTGATTTTTAACGATGCAAATAAAAATTCACCCCCCCCCCCCGTGCATATTAGTAAATGTAATTATGTGTCTAAAAAACACATGTTGCGGAGAGAATGCTAAGCAGATTTACTTAAACAACTTCACGAACTCCCCAGAGGGAAACGCTCAGCTGGTGTGCAGAAAAAAAAACGCTATAAGGACTGTCTAAATGTTCACTCAAATCCATGGGCATCGACCTTAATTCGTGGGAAAGAATTGATATAGGTTGTACCAGCACTGGCAAGGTCAGAGCCGTTCTTAGGAGTTTGGGGGCCGTAAGCATGGAGCGTAGGTTGGGAGGGGGGGGTCCGGGGGTGGAGCTCTCTCAAGCTGAGGAGAAAACACCACCCACCACTGCGGCACCTCCATTCTGCCTTCATTAATGTTTCCTCTTTCCCATTCCCACGGCCAAGCCCCCGATTTCCTGTCTGCCACCCCCAAAGCTCCCCCCTGCTGCTTCCCTTCCCCTGCCCCCGAATTCAACTCAGAATGATACATTTCAGGATGAGGAAGGTAACGTGAGTGACACAGACGGCTGCAGTGCAAGTTTTAAAAACGTTCGGGGCCAGTTAAAAAAACCGGTGGATCGAGGGCGCCTCACGGGGGCCCCCCTCACGTTCGGGGTCCTACACAGATGTGTAGTCAGCGTATGCCTAAGAACGGGCCTGGAAAGGTAGACTCAATGTTGGAGAACAATCCTCACAGTGTAAACGCACGGCTCACGCCCAAAGAAAGCGCAGAGCAGGGAAAAGCAAAGTCAACTCCAGCAGAGCAGGGAAAAGCAAAGTCAACTCCAGCAGAGCAGGGAAAAGCAAAGTCAACTCAAGCAGAGCAGGGAAAAGCAAAGTCAACTCCAGCAGAGCAGGGAAAAGCAAAGTCAACTCCAGCAGAGCAGGGAAAAGCAAAGTCAACTCCAGCAGAGCAGGGAAAAGCAAAGTCAACTCCAGCAGAGCAGGGAAAAGCAAAGTCAACTCCAGCAGAGCAGGGAAAAGCAAAGTCAACTCCAGCAGAGCAGGGAAAAGCAAAGTCAACTCCAGCAGAGCAGGGAAAAGCAAAGTCAACTCCAATCCAACCAGGACCAAATGCCACGTGTGCCCTACTTGAGGGAAAGCTTTCCAGAAAGAAATACTGAATGGCCAGCCACCTGCGTGGTCATCGTTAAATACAGCATTGGTCATCTTCGCATGAGACGGAAAAACAAAACCACAGTGGAGTAGAAGGATGGTTTTTGTTGTTTTTTTCATATAAAATTTGAAGCGAGTTAAGCAATCAATTTTATGTTCACTGTCAAAGTTTCGAGTTTTTAAAACTGTCGAAAGCAAGCCTCAATTTCTCAGTTCTTCGTGTGACCCTCGTGTTTACTATTTTAGGATTAGATTTTTGGATAGTCTGTCTCCAGCTCTCTGCACTCAGAGCTTGGGAATTTTCGTCACAATTATTTTAAAACACCAATAAATGTAATACGAGTTTTTCATCTCCCCCGCCAAATTGAGTAGTTAGTATTCATTTATCGTACACTACTAATGACAATTGCCCTTACCCTTATTACTTACCCTTGCCCGATGTCCTCCGTAATCGCACCACATCTCCGCAGCTTGACGAGGCACGGCACCAGATAGACAACTCACGGTCAGACACGACAGCAAGCAAAAGACTCCAGCGTGAACAGTCGCTAACATCATTGTAGAATATCTCAATGTTTTTTCTGGCAAGTCAGAAACTCACGCGCAGACTTAAGAATGACGAAAGGATTACCAAGCTTACGTAAATAAGGATGTTTAATTACATAAAGAAGCTGAATGGAGCCAGGCTGTACTCGCGATAATGCCGTCGCTGGTCTTGAAATGGCATGAAGCTTAGGTCGGAATTTATCTGTTTTTGGAAGCTCAACATAATATCATTGAAAAACGTAATTATTGTCAACAGCTTGCTACCCTAATAGGACTTAGACGACCTATTATTATGGTACCAGCTGGTTCTATATGGTATATAATTACAGTCATAAATCAAATCATGGGGAGGGGGGGGGACTTTTTGCAGTAAAATGTTACGAGGGATTGGGTCAAAATATTGGAACGTTCCAAGGCATATTAAAAAAACAACAAAAAAACTGATGAGTTTTTTCCAGAAGATTCAAACAAAGACTCCAATTTAATTCCCCACTTTATAATATATTACTGACTTCTCTTGTGTCTGTGGCTTTTCTTCCTTTACCTGACTTCTTTCATTGGCCCGCATATGCATAATATAATTAAGTGAATCATTCACACATTCATTATACATAGCTTTTCTGTTCTTCCTTTTCAGTAGGGCTTGTACATCTCCGTGAATTCAAGATATCGTGGCATCATCAGCGTACCTTGCGATCGACATATCATTAAGTCACATTTTTTAAAAAAAAGAATATCAGAATTAATGTCAGCAGCTTTTTGCCCCTTTCAAGGGAAAAATCCAAAGAACACTGATCTAACTTCAACTTTTCCATCGTGGATATCTAAATAACTGGTAATCTGACAATTGGTTAGTGTCTGATAGATCAGTTGGTGTGTGATAGGTCAGATGGTGTATGATTGTTCAGATGTTTTTTATTCCAAAATTCCCCGCATACTTTATAATCATGACAAGCATCACCTTCCCATGATTTCCCGCAGAACATTTATAAACTCCTTCATACTGATGAAGGCATGTGCCGAAACGTTTAATTCTGTATAATGTACAATTATTATTAAAGCTAACTCATATTGTTCTATTGACACAATTTGTTCGTGTCTTATTAATAAACTCCTTCAGACAAGCTGAGGCTGCTTTAAGTACAGGTCACATTTGAGACTTATTCATCTAGCGATGTGCTCTTTCAGCGCTCATATTTAGAGATCATTGCACTCCATCTCAATAAAGTTTCTTTTCTTCAATTCAGATTCATCTTTCTTGTGGCCACATAACGGCAGACTCTCGCTGGTAAGAAACAAAGTGATATCGGCTTCAAGCAACCATGAGATGTCCATAAAAACAAGACTTAATTTGCATGAAATGTTTGCTATAACCTAAACCCCGCTGCCAATATTTTTTTTATGACAAAAACCCTGCTGCCAATATTTGTTATAACCTAAACTCTGCGCCAATGTTTTGTACACTATAAAATCTGCACCAATGTTTTGTATAACCTAAACTCTGCGCCAATGTTTTGTACACTATAAAATCTGCACCAATGTTTTGTACACTATAAAATCTGCACCAATGTTTTGTACACTATAAAATCTGCACCAATGTTTTGTATAACCTAAACTCTGCGCCAATGTTTTGTACACTATAAAATCTGCGCCAATGTTTTGTACACTATAAAATCTGCGCCAATGTTTTGTATAACCTAAACTCTGCGCCAATGTTTTGTACACTATAAAATCTGCGCCAATGTTTTGTATAACCTAAACTCTGCGCCAATGTTTTGTACACTATAAAATATGCGCCAATGTTTTGTACACTATAAAATCTGCGCCAATGTTTTGTACACTATAAACTCTGCGCCAATGTTTTGTATAACCTAAACTCTGCGCCCATGTTTTTCACTGCTTATGAAAAAACGAACTAAACCCTGTGTTGACTCTTTTCTTAGCACCTTGCTCTTGTATTGAGAGTGTCACCCGGACCGGCCTGCATTCCCTATAACGACGTCAATGGAATATGGACAGACAGACATAATATACAATGTTCCCACACAACGAGGAGAGAGTTAAGTACCTTTATCTAACTTTCAACAAAAGAATTCAAGCTCCAGTGCGATTGACAAACACCACACAAAACCGTGCGATTGACAAACACCACACAAACCCAAACAAAACACCATTGACTAGACTAGACCACCTGAGTTGACACCACTTTGGCTTGGCAGGAGAAGAGAAATCTGTTTAGATCTAACGGCCACTACAAAGTGCCAGATAATAAAACCTCTTTTTATTTGTCCGTAATTATATTTTTATCAAACAGCCAATTGGATTGGAGTCTTTTAACGATAGATAGTTAAAGAGAATTTAAACAAAGGAATTTAAAAACTGTGACTTGTTGTTATAAGCTCATGCAAGCGCAATAATAATCCAACAGTGAAGATGCTACATATTTAGGTCTTGTTAAATTATTATTACACTATACTTGAAAAAGCTGAGGTATCATTATTTTTAGAATAGGGTCGCTAAGGATCAGTTTATGCGGCCCATGGGGCAGTACCCAATAAAAGTTTAGATCCGATGGTTTACTCTGTTATTATTACATAACTCTACAACCTCTGACTATTGCTGCTCCTGCTAAAATGGCACTTTAGCTAAAATTAAACTAAAACCTGATAATAACCAATAAAACTAAAACCTAATAATAACAAATAAAACTAAAATCTAATAATAACCAATAAAACAAATAATAACTAATAAAACTAAAACCTTATAATAACCAATAAAACTAAAACCTAATAATAACCAATAAAACTAAAATCTCATATAAACCAATAAAACAAAAATCTAATAATAACCAATAAAACAAATAATAACTAATAAAACTAAAACCTTATAATAACCAATAAAACTAAAACCTAATAATAACCAATAAAACTAAAATCTCATATAAACCAATAAAACAAATAATAACCAATAAAACTAAAACCTAATAATAACCAATAAAACTAATAATAACCAATAAAACCAAAACCTAATAATAACCAATAAAACTAAGACCTAATAATAACCAATAAAACTAAGACCTAATAATAACCAATAAAACTAAAACCTAATAATAACCAATAAAACTAAGACCTAATAATAACCAATAAAACTAAAACCTAATAATAGCCAATAAAACTAAAACCTAATAATAACCAATAAAACTAAAACCTAATAATAACCAATAAAACTAAAACCTAATAATAACCAATAAAACTAAGACCTAATAATAACCAATAAAACTAAAACCTAATAATAGCCAATAAAACTAAAACCTAATAATAACCAATAAAACTAAAACCTAATAATAACCAATCAAACTAAGACCTAATAATAACCAATAAAACTAAGACCTAATAATAACCAATAAAACTAAGACCTAATAATAACCAATAAAACTAAAACCTAATAATAACCAATAAAACTAAAACCTAATAATAACCAATAAAACTAAGACCTAATAATAACCAATAAAACTAAAACCTAATAATAGCCAATAAAACTAAAACCTAATAATAACCAATAAAACTAAAACCTAATAATAACCAATAAAACTAAGACCTAATAATAACCAATAAAACTAAGACCTAATAATAACCAATAAAACTGAGACCTAATAATAACCAATAAAACTAAAACCTGATAATAACCAATAAAACTAAAATCTAATAATAACCAATAAAACTAAGACCTAATAATAACCAATAAAACTAAAACCTAATAATAGCCAATAAAACTAAAACCTAATAATAACCAATAAAACTAAAACCTAATAATAACCAATCAAACTAAGACCTAATAATAACCAATAAAACTAAGACCTAAGAATAACCAATAAAACTAAGACCTAATAATAACCAATAAAACTAAAACCTGATAATAACCAATAAAACTAAAATCTAATAATAACCAATAAAACTAAGACCTAATAATAACCAATAAAACTAAGACCTAATAATAACCAATAAAACTAAGACCTAATAATAACCAATAAAACTAAGACCTAATAATAAACAATAAAACTAAGACCTAATAATAACCAATAAAACTAAGACCTAATAATAACCAATAAAACTAAAAACTAATAATAACCAATAAAACTAAGACCTATTAATAACCAATAAAACTAAAACCTAATAATAACCAATAAAACTAAGACCTAATAATAACCAATAAAACTAAAACTCAAAATAACCAATAAAACTAAAACCTAATAATAACCAATAAAACTAAGACCTAATAATAACCAATAAAACTAAAACCTAATAATAACCAATAAAACTAAGACCTAATAATAACCAATAAAACTAAAACCTTACAATAACAAATAAAACTAAAACCTAATAATAACCAAAACCTAATAATAACCTATAAAACTAAAACCTTACAATAACAAATAAAACTAAAACCTAATAATAACCAATAAAACCAAAACCTAATAATAACCTATAAAACTAAAACATTACAATAACAAATAAAACTAAAACCTTATAATAACCAATAAAACCAAAACCTAACAATAACCAATAAAACTAAAACCTAATAATAACCAATAAAACTAAAACCTAATAATAACCAATAAAACTAAAACCTCATAATAACCAATAAAACTTAAAACTCCTCATAACCAATAAAAAAACTCAAACAATGGACTAGGAGATTTATAAAATTTAATGGTTACATTTGTTTAAATAACAATTGATCAACAAATCTAATGCTGAAAAATAATTAAAAAAACAGAACACTTGTAGATATAATTGTATAGAGTTAAAATAGGTAGCACCATCAAGAAATATTTGTACACAACACAAAAAGGCACATCTCATGCAAAAAAAAAAAAAAAATGGAACACAACTTTCTCACACAATCAGATCTAAAGGCTTAGACGTCAACTGACAGGTTGTCAAAAATGTTCAGAACACCAGCCAAATTGAATAGAGTTAAAATAGGTAGCAACAACAAAAAAAATTTGTACACAACACAAAAAGGCACATCTCAAGCAAAAAAAAAAAAAAAAAATGGAACACAACTTTCTCACACAATCAGATCTAAAGGCTTAGACGTCAACTGACAGGTTGTCAAAAATGTTCAGAACACCAGCCCGGGTACCCGTTGACCCACGAAGCCGGTACCGGTACCTGACTGAGCAGACAAATTTTTAGGAAATGTAGGGAGTCGTGGCAGTGAAAGGTTTAAAATAAAAAAATTTACAAACTATACTGTGTATATTTTACAACTTGAAGTTGCTCTCTTTTGAAATGGTGTTCTTCATTAATATAAATTGCATGTGCAAGATCAACAAGCAAGATATATGCCAGTAAGGCGCAATGCATAGATTGAAAGTGATCTAACAAAAAAAATTCCGTTTTCTTTATCGACATCATCACGTAATTAAATATAATAATTCTTTAGACCTCATGAAGAATGGACGAAAAACTCCGGGGCACATGATTTTGTGGGTATTTTTAAATTACAATGAGATAGGTGTGACGGGACGCGCTGGGACATGATTCGATGCTTCGGCTGTGCCCCATGACCACCGTTAACATAATTCATTGCAACCATAGGGAATGAGTAAATTCATTTATTTTTTAAAATAACCAAATTTTTTGTTGAAATCTTATTGATTCTTAACATTAAAAAAATTATTTTGTTCATGGAATACTCGTGAATTTTCCGGGTATTTTTAACCTGGGGTGGGTACCCGGGCACCTGTTAACAGTCACATGTTGCTCAAATTATTAGCTAAGAAGAAATTCTGATCACAAGTAACACATTTTTAAAAATACAATTTCATTTGTAAAAATATGAGATCTAAGTACATGAACAAGTTCTTCCAAACTGCAACATCCCTGACAGTTTTGACCAGGAGAAACCAATCTCAGACTGTAGTCAGGTTAAAGCCTTTACACACTATGCCAGGTGAGTCCAGCTGCAGTCCTGTGTAGAACTGTCCTGTGACTATCATGCACACACACAAACTGTCATGAGTTCACCATGAGTTAACCTCTGACAATAAAATACTGGCAGTTCTTGCTTTACAAACATTATGTAAAACGAGTATTCTCAATCACAAACATCAAAATGTTCTGATGTTATAAAAATTTTATAAAATTTTGTTGAAGTTTATTTTAAAATAAAATTTTAAGATTGACTATTTACTTGTAGCTTATTTTCTTTTAATGCTCATCAACTTCTTTCTTTATGTTCTTGGCATATTGTTATGTTGAAACATACATACTCCATACATAATAAAATGTACTTCATATATAAAAATGACAGCTCGCATAGAGCATTGCATTGTATACACACAAAACACTTTATGAACAAAAACATATAACGAACAACCTTTAGGAATGGAACTTGTTCATAAACCGAGAACTACCTTTACTAATAAAATGCCCTTCTTCTACAGATATTAATACTGAAGTGCTGATGAAGAGCTCTTTCTACCGTTTTAAAATAAAATAGCATAGACGGTAAAGTTGATTATTTCAGTTAAATCTTCAAATTATTTTGATAGATTGGTGAAGGTTTAATTAACATCCTACTTGACACATCACCAAACATATTCATCAAAATGTACATCTTTGATAAGAGCTGAGTTTTTAAAATCCAAGCATAATTCAAATTTATGAATAACTGTTAACGTTTTTAGATTGTTAATTTGGTTTAGTCCATAAATGAAATCATTAGTTTACTCAACTACACACTGCCCAACAATTCTGTCCTTTACAATTTAAACCATTTTGAAAGCTTGGCTAACATTTAACAGAGTTAATAATCTTCTCTACTTTCAGTCTTTCAGTGTAAATCAGTTTTTTGTCACCTCTCCTACAGGTATTTCACTTATCTTCACAAAATTAATATATTCCATTTTCTATTTTAACCTCCCCCCCCCCCCCAACCATGCATGATGATGTCCACTTTGAACATTACTAAAAGCCAATAAAGTAAGATGACTAAAGTAAGATGAATACACCATAAGGCACCAAATGCATTAACTCTTAGAATATGAAAACAAATGTCAGAACAAATTCAAGAATAAGTTCAAATAAGTTGAATTGGATATGATTAAAAATATAATAGATTTATATGACTCCAAACTAATTGCAAAGTCATGGGAACCAAAATTAAAACATACTTATAAAATATAGCATTAAAATACAGTGGAGAGAATGTGTATATATTGCAGGACAATCAAATGCACGAGTACAATGACATTAACAATGAAAAATAAATGACATACAGACACACAAAATAGGCTCCATATAAACGCCTTGATATTTCTTATTGTACAAAGGCTGAGAGCAAAGAAGACCTTCATCGATAAGTAGGAAATTTACCAATATAATGTTGAATGTGGGGTTTTAAACAATAAATAAATAAGAACAGATTGAACACAAACATGACTTGACTCTGGTGATATAAATAAAAATTTAAAAAACACCTGGTCAGTTCTAACTAATTTAGTAGTAACAGACCCATCATCATACAGCACAGTCCAAAGGAACAGACGACGAAAAAACACAAATCATTTTGCTCAGAGCTCCTGGTGTTGATTTCCTGTCTTTAGATCGGCCTCTGCTTGTTTCAATACCTTGCGAGCCTGTGGGGGGAAAAGTAAACATATTTAACACTTTATATCCACACGACCCATATCAGCGTCTATATAACATAGCAACAAGAAACATTCATGAATATAACATAGCAACAAGAAATATTCATGAATAATATCCTCTTAGATGTCATAGCATTCTAACATTGGTACATCCTTCCCAAATAGACAACTCACAACTTTTAAATGAAAATAGCTTGTTATTATTGAGTCCGATTTCTTTCCAATTTTGATCAATAGTAATTTTGCCAAAAATGGCCTCCGATGATGAATTTGTTAGCAATTTAGATGTAATTATAGATAATTCAGATTAACTATGCTAGCTTTAGTAATACAGATTCCTGTATTTAAATTAACAAATATAAAATAAATATCGTCCTCTAGACAAAATTATTGATTTTACAGTGTTGTAACCTATTTTTTAACCGTACTGTTGGAAAAGGTCATGTGGATAGAAGTTGTTTTTTTATCTATGCGCTATGTGGATAAAAACAGTTTATAATACATAATTTTACATGCAACAAGCGTCTTAAAACTTGAACATTCTATTTATACCTTTACCTACCCTATGTACCACCATTGCCTAGAGTCTACGGAACTCACCTGAATGTGAGCCAGCTCTTTGAAGTTAGGATTCAGAGTAAACCATAAAGCCAGTGCACATCTCTGCCCACTCTTTACAGCCTTCACCCCATGGAAGTTGCCAGCATTGAATCCAACAAGACGGCCACATTTTGGTCGCAGAGAAACCTGCAATCAAACTTCCTTTATTATATTTTTTTGTTACGTCTAAATTTCACATAAATATTAAAGATTAATTATCAGGGACCAATACAATGGCATGTAGTCAAAAAATTAAAAGAAACAGAAAATCTTGAATTTATCCGTTACCTGTTCCGATTTGTTGGCATGAGCAAAAAAGAACTCTCCACCTTCAAAGTCAGAATTTAAGTAGAGTAAAGCACTGAAAACAAGGATAAATAATTAACATTAGAAAATACTGCAGCTTGATTTGGTTGCTTTCGTTACAAGGTAATATGTCAATTGTTTGATAGAGCGAAGAAAAGTTAAACCTAAGTAAAAAAAAAAAAAATAATAATAATAATAAAATTGAAGATAAAAAAAACAACTTTTTTACGAAGAAAAGAAGAGGATTAAAGTTAATGAGGGATAAGTATTTAATTTATACTGTCTTATTCTTGTAGTTGATAGTGTTGAAATATCTGTCCAGCAGCAGGTTGGACTACACCTGCTATATGCAGTGAATTTTTTCTACCCACCTGTAATCTCTTTGTGTGAACGCTGGGAAGTCCTTGGTACAGGAGCCATCGGGTTGTAGGTTGCAGTTGTCTGCATGGACTGGGTGACTCAGGTCTTGTCTGTTGTATTTGGAATCTGAAATGAGATGTTAAAACATATTTTTGATGTATACTTTACAGATATTGACTTGTACGGAGATACTGATCTACCATCGAGCGCCTCCCAAGGTGGCAGATAGGGGAAAGCCCAAAATATATGGCGGGTACCAGGGAGATGAAATACCCGGGGTGGACCCAAGTCAGATCCTTTGGACTCCTGGAGTGAGTGGAGGGATCCCAGGGCTAACAACCAGGCTATGTAAAAAAATAAATGTTACAAAAGTCAAACAAAATAAAACCCGGACTGATACTAATGAAAAATGATCTATGCAAGGGCATCATTTTGGGATTGTGACTTGGAAAGCACTAATCGTGTTTCAAGCAGGAGTCTTAGCCAACCTTATCAAGCAATTAAAACAATATATAATCTATTGCTGCATTGTAAGATGGAAAAATGTAGACATCCTCTGAACAAAATACTACGCCATATTTTATAGTGGCAAAAACACCAACACTCTTGGAACAGGATTGGCTGTGAAGAAAGAAGCCATGAGTACAGTCATAGGTTTTAAGCTGGAAAATGGAAGATTGCATTCTTTGCGTGTGTGAGTAAAAATGTTGAAAATAACATTTAAAAAATGTTCATGCTCCCACCGAAGATACAGACGGTTTGATAAATCCTTTTATGAGATGCTGGAAAAGATCTATAATGAGGCGGCACCACACCACGACATGATAAAAAAAAAATTAGTGATTGTTGACTTTAATGCCAAAATAGGGAAAGAAAAAGTGTTTATGCCAACTATCGGCAAGGAGAGTCTCCATGAAGAATCCAATGACAATGGGATCTGACTCACAGACTTTACTTCAGGAAAATGGATGACAGCAGCAACAAGTTTCCATGGAAAAATGCACATAAAGTTGCTTGGAGCTCAACATATGGATTCACTCTTTACCGAATAGACCATGTTTTAATTGATCAGAGGCATGGATCAGACATGCTACAAGTAACAAGATCTCAAGGACCCCATGAAGAGAAGAAGGTGGTCTTTTGCCATAAACTGGATTGACAGACGCTTAGTTCAGACTTTTCACAACCAAAAAGTAGAACTTGAAAAAAGCTTCATACAGTTCTCAACATCGCTGTGGGGTCAGCCAAAACAAAGTTTTAAATATGGTTTTACCAGAAAATGTCAATTATACTGTATCAATTATAACAATGCTGTGAAAGAATAAAAGAAGATTAAAATTTGTTTAGAGGTAGGAAGTGTGACTTGAGCTACTCTTGATATTTATTCATTTGTTTACCTTTAAAATTAGAAGTAATTTCCTCCTGTATACTTCTTATAAAAATGACTGTGGGCTCAGAAGAACTTTATGCTGCCATCAATGCAGAGTCTAATTTAAAGTTCTAGAAAAGCAAAGTAGGGTTTGCTATATGGCTGTATGTTTATATTAATCCATTGTAAAACCTTACGTGTCTGTCAACTTAAAAAAAACAAACATTAAACTTACCATCAACAGCAGTTCTGCACACCAGATGAGTATAATCAAAGTACAAAGGTTTTGTTAAGTTGAAATACTTCTCCACCAACAGGCGAGCGTTTTCACTAAGTTCCAGGAATGATTTGAGGCCATAGGGGGAGATCAAGCCTTGGTGCATCAGCTGGAAGCAGGAAATGGGAAATAAATTAAAGCCAGTACAATTTCTTGTTTAATAATATACATAGATCACGTTACACAGACAAGTTTAAATTAAAAGCTTTAAGGGCATATTATCATAGTTTAAATTTCTTTAATACCTCAACCCCATTAAAAAAAATTGATTTCTTTTGATTAGTTTCAATCAATTTCAAGCAAGCGACAGAAACAAATACTGAAGATCAAATTCAACTTGTTCAACAACTTGTCACTAGTTTCTCAAACATGCACAGCTGGACAAAATACACACAGGTACACAGCAGTTAAATAGAATGACTTCTCTAGTAAAATTGCTACAATTCTTCTATGATTTATAAGGGGAATCTTACTCTTGCCTAAATTTAATACTCCTATCTATGGAATTTAAATTACATCAAGTTTAACGTCAATTATCTACATTATGGATTAATAGACAGGCATATTAATGACCCAATCATGGCATAAACAGTTAATTTGTTACTCAGTGAGATCTCATCCAGCATATCTGTTAAAGTTTCTAACAGAACAACAAAAAGAGAGTAGCAGATGTTGATTATGACATGGGGGAAAGGAAGGAACACGAGAAGAAATAACAGTGAAAAGGTTAGAAAATGGTTTCCATGGCAGAGGTCTGTTACAAAAATCAATGCCACTACAATACTACTTCACTAGACTGTGTCATACTACTTGACTAATACAATAATAAGTGACTCGACTAGGTGTTGGAACAAACAAAACACATGGTGACATTTAGTGGGGAATAACCGGAGGATTCATCACAAATCACAAGCTGCATTGAAACAAGTCTTATTTTTAGAACCCTCATTGAATCTATTAAGTTGTCATTAGAAACTTATTTAATTTTCTAAAGCAATAATTTATAACAATATACAGTGTATGTTTACTACTTGGCAATCAGCTCTGTATCTTGGTTCTAATATATTATTATTGGTTTAACCCAAGTCATTGGTGGATACATATGTCACAACAAAGGTCAAGGAAGCGGTAACAATGTAGCAAGTCATACAAACCTTGGTCGCTCTATATACTGTAATTCCCTGGTAGCGCTCATGTTCAGTGTGTGGGGAGATGAAGGAGGGTTTGCTTACAAGATGACCGTACCCATCACCAAGCAGAGAGAGGCTCTAAAGGCAAAAATGGGTAAAAAAAAAAACCAAAGCCGAATGAAAGGAAAGTATCTGAGTCCTGTATTGCTACAAGTGTATTGTATTTTTACTATGGTTTGGTTTATGCATTGTACTGCATGATGAGTTTTTCCTTGACAAACCAGGAACAGCCGCTTTAAAAGAAAGAAAAAGACGTCATTGCAATGGCCCAACTGTGTGGAGGATAACTTTTTAATTTCTTTTTCTTATGGTACTTGGATAGGACATAAAACGCAACCGGAAAAAAAAAAGTCTAAACTGATAGCTTGCTTATGACTTCTGTTCCTGATAGGAGGAAATCATTTTCCCCTCCCCGCAAAAAATTATCTCCAAGTGTAGACTAACAGAATAAAAATCTTTAGTTGATACACTCCAACAGGTTGAATATAAGCCAAAATAAATCCTCTAGGAAGTTTAAACAAGTTTTTACTGTTTTAATTGAATATTAAGTTTCAACAATTCAATTAAAATGACCATGATTGAATCAACCAACTTTGAATTTTTTTTATATTTTCAATTATAAACAATTTATAATAGAAGAGACTAATTTCAATGCATTGGATCAGCAAATATGCATTCAACTTCTACAATATGTCAAGCAGAAATTTGTTTTAAAAGACAGTCTCATCTTAAAATTAAAGTTATCTTTTCTTTTGTTCCGTTTTTTTTTTGCTTCAGTTTTGGAAGCATGAATAGTAAATAGTGAGTTACAGATATTTTTTTGTATAGCCTAACTTTAAATATTCTCATCACCTCTACAGTCAGTGGCAACTAACAGAGATAACACACTGGCAAACTTTACTGGATTGCTTTGGTAACAAATGCCTTTGAAATATTTGTTTCTATTCAACAAACAACTTTTATATAAATTAATCATTAAAAACGCTAAAAATTTGGCTCTTGACATTCTGCAAAGTTAGCACCTGATAGCAACGGGGCCCCCTTTTTAGAGCCTATGAGTATGAGTTAACATCTATTGAAAAAAAAAATCAGGGGATTTCCACTATTAAATATAACACCAGTTTTCATGAGAAATTATGATGAGGTGAAAATTTTTAGTAAGAACAAGATAAACAAGAAAGATAATAAGACATTTGTGACCATTTATCCGTTAATAAACTAACTTTACAGATATCTTTGTAATGAATTTCATTTCAGTGGACGTGAACATTAATTAGTTAATTTAATTATTTGAGTGCATTAAATCACAAGATGACCAAAGGGTGGTATTAGAAGCTATGTCAGCATTAACCAGAAATCAGAGTATATTAAAACATTTAAAAGTTTAGAAATGTTACTGATTTAATATTTAAAGTTGACATAAAAGTAAAATATATTAATATGCATTATTTATCAATATTTAAGAACTTCTGATTTTTGTTTCTCTACTTCATTACTGGTACTTTGGAAACTATCCTCAAGTTGATCATGTTAAGAGCTATAAATTTCATTAAAATTTATTTCATAAAATAAATATCAGTATCTCAAAAATAAAATTAAACTAAAAAATTATAAGATTTCACACATCGATTCAGCAATAAATAAAATTTTTCCAATATTCAAATGGGATTAGATCTCTGTTCATTTCACTGAAAACAATTTCAATCAAAAGTACAATAATTAATATTAAAACTGTTAAAATCCATATCCCTTGCTTAAAGATTATTCCCCTTCAAAATGATAACAATTCTAATTCAAGGCAAACGACTATGTCCACATGAAATATTGTGCAAATTTAAGTGGTCTAGGCACTAGAACAGGCAAAATGCCTACTAGCGAGGAGGAGAGGCCTAGTAGGAATGCAATAAAATGACACATGAAAGGTACCTGCAACAAATAATTAAGAGAAAGACCTGCAAACAATTCATTAACAGTATGTGGTGATTTTTTGCCCCGATAACCAGATCCAATTTTGCCATGTTCCTGTAAATGTTACAGATTTAAGGACATTAAAAAAAATGTATGTTCCAAAATAAATTAGTTTTTTTTTAAATATTTATTTGTGTAATCAATCACTTTGATATAAAAAAAAATATAATGTTGAATGGGAACACTATCAGCTTGCATGAATCTTGAATTTACACAGAAAGTTACACTCTAAGAGAATTCAGATTTACTTATGTTTAGTTACAACTAAAAACTGTCGATAGAAAGCATTGCAGGATTGTTTGTTGTTTTACCAACAGTACAACATTAATGCTACTTTATTCCCTTAACTTCACAAGTTGTAATATTTTGTTGTATCAATAACCTGGTGCCAACTAATCATCAAGCAATATTGCACAGTCTATTTACCAGCCATGGATACATTGTAAACTAAGACAGCCCAGTTACCACATAGGAATATTTTACTAAGAGTTTTCTCTGCAATAATTTCTGAAGCCATTTCATGACACCTTTAGTAGGAAAATTGTTAAAGTACTATTTTATATAATAAATAAGTAGTGAGCTTAGAATTGTAAAGTAATTATTTCCTGTACACATCTAAAGCCATTGTAATCACAGCAAACATTTGTTAAAGTAAGCGAGGTGATTTTTTTATATAACACATATAAACCCATAGCACTACTGAAAAAAAAATGACCCAATTAAAATATTACATTTCATGGAAAAAATTTAATTTTGTTTCTTCAAATAGAGTAAAAATGTTTTAAAGACATGACAGCATAACATGATCAACCTACCAAGGCAACATTCCTGAGAGTTTCACATTGTTCATCTGAAGCCATCCCGTCAGCTACAAATCGTTCTTTTCCTTTGAGATCTTCGCCATTCTTAACAATTTTTACACCTGTCAAAATATAAAACAGAACATCAACAAGGCAAGTTGTTTTTATTTTTATTTTACATGCCTTTTGAAACAAGTTTTAATTTCCAATAATTCTTTTCATTTTATCTCTACTAATTGCTTTTAGTCAAATTGATCCAAAACTTTTATTTTCAACCTCCAAAAATCATCTCATGTGGGTGTTGATTGCTTTAACTTTTTCATCACGATTATATGTAAAAAAAGGTCCAAACAGTAAATATTTTTTAAAATGTTTATTTAATATCCGTTTCCTTGCAGTGAGGTGTTAATAAATTTCAGCAGTATTGAGCAGAATAAACTACTTTGTCCGACTTACTTCTTGTAGTACTATTTTACAACTTTAAAATATTTATTTATAGTAACATTACTTAACATATATATTACTAGAATAAATGACCCGATTGTTATCGGAATAATAATGGTAGGTCCTCTGCAATTTCAAGCATTTATCTGCTACAAATAATATGTCTACTCTACTCCCTTTCACGCCCCTAAACTACATTTTCCCCAAAAGATGACCTTAAATTATCCAATCTAAATTATCACTAATTATATCACTTTTGTCACTAAAGAAGTTAATTGAGGGGTGATTTCTACGCTAGAGAATTACTTTAGATTTCCCCCTTTTTTTCCTTGAATTCCAACTTTTTTTCTAAAAAAAAATGGAAAAAAACTTAATACTAAAGGAACTTGATCTATTGATATCTTCATTAAAAATGTAACATACTTTTGCTGTTTTTTAAATTATACGTTATCAGAAAATCTTAAAACAAATTCTTTTATCTCAAGAAGATTCTCGCCACCGTTTTTCACACATAAAAGAGACTTGAGTTTGTTTTGTTTTTTGATTTAAATTGTTAATCTCATAAAAATACACATCTCTTTACTTTTTGCACAGTAAAAACAAAAATATATTTTCATTTTTTGAAAGTAAATATTAACCCATCTCTATTTTTCAAAATTAATTTTTCAAGCGTGTAAAATGATTGGGTTTTGATATTCATGGGTATACTTATATAAATGTACCCACAATTTGTTAACGTTATTGATTTTCTTAATTTGTAAACATATGTTTATTTGTAAAAAGATAATGTAACATCTCTTTTTTCACAAATGTAATACCATAGGATTTAAATTAAATATATTGTCATTCACGTTAATATGTTCACATCCTTTTTTCCTACCTCCAAAATGTATGAACCCAAGGTTAATTATTTATCAAATTCATTCCATTATTTTGAGACATATCTTGTATTGCCTCGGGGAAAATGAAAACACCCATATTTGTAAAAAGAGAATGTAACATCTATTTTTTCACAAATATAATACCACATGAGTTATATATATTGTCTTCCACGTAAAAATGCACACATCCCATTTCCTATCTCCGATATGTATGTACCAAAGAAGGTTACATTATTTATCAAATTCATTCATTTTTTTTTACATGTACCTTTTGCTGCCTTGGGCAAAATGAACATACCCATGTTTTTAAAAAGAGAATGTAACATCTCCTTTTTCACAAATGTAATACCATAGAAGTTAACTATACTGTCATCCACGTAAAAATGTACACATCTTATTTCCTACCTCCGACATGTATTTACCCTAGAACATTAATTAATTATCAAATTCATTCCTTTATTTTGAGACGTATCTTGTGCTGCCTGGGACAACGTGACCAAACCAACACCCCCCCCCCCAGATTAAAAAAAAATTAGAAAATATTCTACCGGATTGTAGTCCCTTCCATACCCAAACTAACATATTTTGCACTTCATATGGTTTTTTATTATTTGTTTGAGTTATAACTGGATTAGTGAATGATATTTGGCTATGGAGTTGCGCTGCACTGATTGCCTTAAACGGCAATTTCTTATTAGAAGTATATTTAAAGGTTAAGTTTTTATTATGTTATAAATTTAATAAAAGTATATTTTTTGGAATTAAAGAAGTAAAACTTATTAAATGTTAAAAATACAAAGCTTAAATTTTCGTGTGTTTTATTAACAAATTAAAGAGTTATCAAATAATTTTATAAATTTTACTTTTAAGAAGGGGGGAAATACTTTATCAGTTTTTTTAACGCGCGGTTATTGAATCAAAGAAACTTAAGAGTTTTGGCTAACATTGGTGATTCGCACTATGACTTCATTTGGTGTTTATTAAGAAGAAATTAATTTTAATTTTATATCCAATATTAACAACGCACTAAAAAACACACTAAAAACAACTGATGTTTGGGTTTTCCTGATAAATGTGATTACGATGTAATTCTTAGATCATAATTTTATTATGAATTTTTTTTTCATAACTTTTAATTCAGATAAACTGCTTAAAATAGTTCCTTAGTTATTACTTTAAACGTATTTGTAATTTATAATAATACTTAAACTTTTACTAAAATAAAAGCCGATTTAAAATATTTTTCTCACATTTAAATTTATTCGATTTACTTAAAATAATAGAAAATAGCTATGATTGTTTTTAGGAATCTGAACGTACTTAAATCGTATCGGACCTTTGGCGTTATGTCACTATAGCTCATTCTTATATATACAATTATTTTTACTTGTAATTCTATTGATATTGGTAATATTTTTACAATATATTAATATATGTGGACGAGTTTGCAAAGATTTAGAATGAATTTTAATTCAAATACCTCTCTCTTTAAAATTTTGCAATACTTCTTTGGATGTTTTCTGAGCATTTCCCATCCTCAGTTCATCCACTCTGTGCAGCAAGACAATCAAGTCCTTAAAATCTTTCTCATCATCACTACGATATGTAGTATACCTAAAGGATTGTTCAAACATTTAAATATCATCTTTATTCATAATTGGTATATTTGCTACAAAACATCCTTCTATTTATGTTAAATAGACCTTTTTTCTAATTTAAATCAATTTCTTTTTCTTTCTCTATAACAATACACTTAATCTAGAGCTCATAATATTTTATCAAGACATAGCTTTCAGTTAGACTGAAGTTAAATTTAAATCACCAACAAAATTTTAAAAAAGATATGGTTGGCATCGTCTTAGTGTGTGAACATACCTGAAGACCATGGCACATCTCTTTGTTCCTTTTTTGGGTACAGTGATGGCATGTCTATCCCCAGTGTTGAAGCCAACCGTCCTCCCACATTTCACTCCAAATGAGCTCTGTAAACAACAAAATCAATATTCAACTCTTTTCCTTGTAACAGATTCACTTTAAAACCAAAACCCAATTCCAGAAGTAATGGTTATTTCTATTATTAGCCGACATAAGCATACATGGTCTTTAGAATCAAGTAGAATCTACATTTCTTAAGTTATTTTACTTAGTATTTAATAGTCTGAGTAAACATCAAAACATATTCATGATTAATAAAAATTTAACCTTTTTTTTGGTCCAGTTTGACAGTTTTCCTAAATTATTTATATAAGTCCAATAAACTTACATCCACTCCCTTATTTTCATTTAAAAATAGGAAATCTCCATCCTCATCAACATTGTTCAGATAGGTTACAGTGCTGAAATAATCATAAACTTAGGTTACTACGTTCTACAAACAGGAAACAGGATCAAACTAATTAGGGTTATTATTTAAGGTTTAGCGTTAAACTAAACTAAGCCAAATCGATTTAACTTACAACTGATCAATTATTGATTAGCAGAATCAAAACATTATTTAAGATGAGTTTTTTTTTATCTCTCTTACATAAATTCTACAACTGTAGGAGAAACTAAAAGAGGCCATGAGTACATAATGTACATAAAAAAATGTACATGATTTTGAATCATAAATTAATAATGAACATGATTTTGAAGCTATGATTTATGAGTCAAACATGTGTAAACAACTTACGTGAAACCATCTGAGAAAAGTTCATCTGACATTGATTCAAAGGTAATGCATGTACCATCTTCTTGAGGATAACAGTCCTTCAGAACATCTGAATCTGAGGATTTGAAAAGAAAGTACCAAGAAAATGTCTATTAAATTTTATAATGTGATTTGTTTAATTGATGAACAGAATGTTTAAAATACATTTTTAAAAAAAATTACATTCTATTGTAATGAAATAAATTGCCTGGATCAATAAGACTATGTAGCTCACTATCAGATCAGATTTCTTTGCTATATGTTATAAAGACTTACTAACAAGGCTTACCAGACAGGTTACTCTTACCAGAAAGCTTAATTTAATCAATTTAAGAAAACTTATTATTATGTGATCTTCAATTATTTCTACCATTGTATACAAGTAAAAAATTCAAATAATCACCCCCAAAAATATTAAAATACCTAGCTAAATATATAAAGATAAGTGTTTAAATTAATTTAGGAATCAAACTCATTGCTAAAAACTCATTAAATCTAATGTCTTATAATACAATGACCAGTATGGTTAATTATCTCTTATCAACTTACCTTCGGGTTGGCTCCAGCAAACAATAGATGTGTACTTGAAGTACAGTGCGCTTTCTGGCTCCAGGTAAGACTGTGTGTAATGCTTGACGACCTCTGCAGCTCTGATGAATTGTCTTAAAGATGCTTCAAAATCCTCTTCAGGGTTTTCTAAGAGTTGCTGATTGAAAGAGATATGAAACTTTGTTAATGAAGGAACATTTATTTTTAGTATTAAAGACTGTGAATTATGAGCTGCAGACATTATTTGAGTTTTACCACAACATCTTAAGAGTTGAACTAGGAATATTTATATCTCCTACCAATTAACTAGGTCAGGAAAACTAGTAATATTTATAATTTATCTTCAATGCTTTATCAGTAGAACTAAAAATATTTGAGATATCTTCAGCACAGACTGGGTTCTTTTATTGCTAAAAAATCATATTGATAACCTCATTGAATTGAGTTACTATGTAAAATAATTTTATAACAATTTCATTCGGTGCTGGAAAACATGAATGAAGCAAAGAATGAAAAAAAAATGGATTCTCTGGCACACAGTGTCAAGTTATTTACCTGTTGGGCAAGTTTCAAGTCAAATAGTGCTGACCCCTGAGTAGCTCCTCTCAATTTCTGTATAATACGAGATAAAGTTGCTAATGATAGTGAATAAAAGGAAAGTTTCAAATAAATGAACAAATAACAAAATCTCCTATTTGTTTACTTGTATTTTCTGTAACACTTAGTGCAAGTTAGAGAAAAACAGGAGGAAAGAGCAGAAAGAAATAATAATTAAACATTAGCAAGTATTTAAATATTTTAAGCATGACATACTGGTGAAAATTAATCTGTGAACAATAAATCATAAATTACTTTACAAATACAAAATGGCATAGACTCTAATCGATTGATTTGACCACAGGAAATGCCCTCACATTTGCCAGGATGAGCATTTCCTCACACTGCTCCTCTTTGAGGAGCCCGTCGGTCACAAAACGTTCCGGTCTGTTGAGGTCGGTGGATTTGGCTATGAGGTGCATGCCGAGCTTCTCGTAACGAGTGATCCAGTCATTTGGATGTTCTGCTTCAGCTGCCTCCATTCTATCTAAGGTGTCTTTAAACTCATCCTCATCAACCTGGGACACACGACAGATCAGATTAATCACAGCCAGGTTTAACAAACTAGTTTTAATATTGTTACACACTGGTTTAATTATTATTACACACTTGTTTAAACATTATTACACACTTGTTTAAATATTATTACACACTGGTTTAAATATTATTACACACTTTTTAAAATATTATCACACACTGGTTTGAATAATATTGCATAACTGTTTTAAAATTATTCACACAGGTCATAATATTATTACACACTGGTTTGCATTACATTATGTGTATGAAAATTCTGTTGCAGAAGTAAAACATGATAATAATAACAATTATGTTAGAAATATTGTTTTTTTAACTCACTATTACCATAAGATTTACACCAAGATTTATTTCTTTTTGCAATAGTCATCAAATGAAACATCAAATAAAACAGCCGCAATGACTAGAAAAAAAAAGTTATCAGCAATGGAAAAAATAAATTCAATGTTAAGTTGCAATTATCAGCAAGGGAAAAAATAACTTCAGGGGTTAGCTAAGTAGCTGTTGCTATAAACCCTTGGAGAACTTAACCATCCTGAAGCTTTAAAGCAGAGTGCTATTAATGATCTTAATTCTATTCTCACAAATGTGTCTTTTAATTGGGATGATGCTAACCTCTTCATTGATGTCTGGCCACTTATAGTTTTTATTTATAAAATCCATAATATCTTGCATCTCCCTCTTCCTGTTGAGATATTCTGCTGCTTCCTGTTCATCAAAGCCCAGAAAAAAAAAAAAGGGTTTCAAATTAATGCTCTCAGCTGCAAACACATCACTAGCACAGTTAAAAACAAGGCCAGGTACATTATTTAATGTCACATAAATGAAGGCCAGAAGAGTAAACATTTAATATAAAAATTGTTCTCTTTAAACAAGAAATAAACTAGAACAGACTCATATATTTAATGATAAATCAAATGTGATGTGAAAGACTTAATTCAATAACAATAGGCTGATACTAAATAAATGAATAAATTTACTTAAAAATACAACCCCCCACCTCCATTATTCCTGTATAAGACTTTCAAACATTGTGAGTGTACATTGCAGACACGAACCTTCCTTGGGATAAAATCATCATTAGTATAGCCGAGCTTCTTTTTCAACAATTCTTTGTTTTCTTTCATGACAGCATGGGACGAGTTGAACGTCAGGAATGTTGCTGTAGCCTCCGCTGATTTCTCTAGCTCATTGGCTGAAGACACAAACAGTTCATAAAAAACATTGGTGGTTGAAGCTTGTTATTTTGGGTTTATCTCCTACCCAAGAATAGATAAGATTACTTACCTAACAAGTCCACACCATCCATCTATTTGCCTATTGCTGGAGAGGACCACAGATGCATTCCAAACTTCTACCACTCTTGGTCAAAAGGCAGACAATGTTACCATAATGCCATGGGGCTGACGTTATTTTTTTTTTTTTTAATTCCATTTGCTGTATTTGCAATAAAATACTTCTTAAAGCCCTTTCCATTTCTATTTACCACAATCTACACACAGGTCTAGTATTTCAAACAAGCAAAAGAACATGGTAATTGTATGCACAGAGAGTGGCATCGAAGCTGTGACACTTGGGTGTCTATAAAATACAGAAAGTATAATGGTGAGAACAGTGTTAAATCTCTCTTACTTTGGTAGTATGCAAACTGTAGATAGTGAAACATATCTCTCAGGAAGAACTGAATAGGATCAGTGTAAACGACACTTAGAGTCTCTTCACAGTTTAGTTGGCAAGTAATTATGGTGATGATCAAATCTGAAAAAATACCAGAACATCAGACTACTTTATTGTGCAACCAGTAGATTATGTAGAATAAGTAAACTTAAACAAATGAAAAAGCAAAACGAGGCATGTGGAAGCCTGAATAAGATAACAGGACAAAAAAAAAACAAGGACTTTCGGCATAAAGCCTTCCTCAGCCAACAGTAGAAATGAAAATATAAAAAAAAAAACAGAGCACCCATTGGTGTCGCCGGAAGACACCAATGGATACTTCTTGAGTTGTCTACTGTGCTCTGTTTTTTTTTTTTATTATTCAAGCTTCCACATACCTCGTTTTGCTTTTTCATTCATTTACTAAGCTTGAAAGCAGTCCTTTCATTTATATAAACTTAAACAGTAATACAGAAAACATGTGAAGCTACCTTCAAAAAACTTATACTACAATACAACTTCAATGTCAGTACAGGTATAAAAAAATTTTTAATAAAAAATATACATGAATTAAATATTTTAATTTTTTTAAGTTTAAATTTATGTATTGAAGAGTAGTTAGTAATTAACCCATAAAAAATGTTTAATGGCTGAACTTTTCCTTCAGAACCAATGGTATATGGTATATAAGTTAATGTGCCGCAAACCTGCCACTCCAGTTGAAAATTCATTTCCTTTCATTCTACCCTGAGCCTCGCAGTCAGCACGACATCTCTCATCTTGTTTCCAGTAATCTTCCAAACACAGCTCAGCATGATTGATCACCCCCTTCCAGTACTTGTTGCCATACGCCAACAATGTGCGGATATAATGTTCCTATTTAGGTTAGACAAGAAGTAGGTCACTGAGGTACTCATTGCCAAAAAATATTGAGAAACAATATTCCAATTTAAAATCTAATGAGACATTTAAAGTTAGTGGATTTTATTTAATTTCCAATCTCAGATCTGTTTACCCTCAAACTCTTAAAATCGTACAATATCATCACAAAATTGTTCAATATATTATCTTAATAGTTAAAAAACACACAGTATATATAATGTGTAAACCTCAAAGTCGTACATTGTACGCCAAAATCGTAAGAGTAAACAGGTCTGCAATCTAATTGTACGAGTTCAAGTCATTTAGAATATTTTCCATATCAAAGTCATAGTTTACTTTGTATGGCTTGATCTCCAAATCCAGAAAATCAGACTCTTTAACCAAAGCTTTATCTCTGTAGAACACAATGTTATGTTTTATATCAACATCATCCGGGTTTGATAGGTAGTAAGTGTAAGCTGCTGAGGCTGCCTCTTTGACTCTGTCAAGCTGAGGAGAAACATAATTATTTTAAATATATTGTGTCCCATTTAGTATTTCCTATTCTTACTGATGCCACCCTACATCCCTTGGATAAAAAAATGGCAACTTCCCCTACCCCCTTTTACTTCCTGATTTTTTTTAAACATTTTATTTTAGTCCAATTTGTGCCATATTTACCATTCTTTCAGTTGACATTCCTTTAAAAGTGTAATAAATAAACATATATTCAGACAAAATTAATGATCCTGTCAAATGGTTGACTTTGGTAGTCTTACTCACTGAACCATTCACCCTCTTCTTTCCCTTATGGACCCCATAAGTCAGATAAATCTCAAGACAACTGTACAGCCCACTTTTAGTCAAAACAGTATGCAGAATATTTTGTACAATTTGAATTAAAATAATACAGTTTAAAAATTGTTATGATTTATAATAGAAGTCATAAACAAATGCCTATTTGTTCGACAAATAATGGGATAGGTTTGAGATGTCACAGACGCTCAATGTTGCTTATAACTTGACCTTGTATTCTGACACACCCTTAAATAAAAGCTTAAATAAAATGGTAAAACATTTAGATTTATTAATAGGGAATAATTCTGGCCTGATTAATATAGTCTGTCAGATTTTCATTTTTAAGTGTTTCTTAGCATAGCATAAATGAAATATCTAAATGGCGATCCCTCTCAAGAACTATTTATAGCTTAACGACCTTAAAGTACCTACTTTAAGTTTGTTCTCATATGCTTTCAAGAAGACTTAAGGTTAAAGAACGTGTTACGTTTTTTAAAAACAAATAGGTTTTGAGTTTTGGATGTTCAATCATTTCTTATGTCATTTTATTTCGCCGATAAAAATAAACAATGAATTTTAGATTTTTTATATCAATTCCTAAACCCATCATTAACAGGTTAATAAGAAAAAATAGATTTATACCAAAGATTATCATGATTTACTAGTATACATGATTCACATAATAATGTTATTAATGCAAACTAAGTACATAAAAAAAAAGGAAATGTTATTATACACACCAAAAAATTATTTTAATATGTAAAGTGATTTTTAAAAAATTCTTCTTGAATGATATTATTATTACGTCTAGCAGGATTGTAAATTATCCAATGGTTGTAAATAAAAACGGCATTATTATTATTTTGGTTTTTTTAAACTTTTGTTTGGGGGGGGGGGACTTCTTTTTCAATTACTATACCTAATTTTCTAGTCACTTCATATGGGTGAATGAGTATATATGTATATATATTGCTTTTAAAAATGTTATTGATCAGGATCAGGATGTGGTCTACAATTCAAATACTTTTATCTCAAGCTCACAGGAAACTACAGAGCAGAAATTTTTTTACATCTGAGTCTCAAAAGGGGTTTAGATGTATTAAAATTTGGTGGAACTTCAATTTATCTTTCCATGGGCCCACGTTCTGGAACCAGCTCCCCTTCCATATACGTCATAGTGAAACCTCGTCCATTTTCAAAAAGTCCCTTAAAACTCATCTGTTTAGGTCCGCCTATGACCTGTGATGCACCCTCCTTGCCCTACCTAATTTTCTGTTTCGGTTTAATCCTGAAGTGTCAAAGTGTCCTCTTTTTATAGCCATTTTCATTGTTTCTATAGAATAGTAGTTACTATCCTAGTGTCTCATTTGTATTTACTTAGTTTACATGTTTTAATAATTGTAAAGCGCTTAGAGCTTTATGATAAGCGCTATATAAAAATGCCTAAATAAATAAATAAATAAATAAAGGGAGAAAAATCTGGTGGGATAATTTCCACAAGAAAGGTGCAGCTGAATCATGAATATATCTTCTTACTTTTATCTCATCTTTATTAACACAGAAAATAGATACTTAAAACATTTTTTTTAAAAATAAATAATGTATTTTTGGCATATAACACGCACTTTATCTCCTCGAAAATAGGGGGCAAATCATGTGTGCGTGTTATACGCCGATATAATGTTTAGTTTTTTTTCCTGAAATTTCCTTCTTAACTTGAGGTGCCTGTTATACGCGGGGGCGTGTTATACGCCAATAAATACTGTACTTTCTTGTTTTGTTACAATTTATTTTTTGTGGTGCCATAATTAGATCTCGTTTATAGAAAAATTATTGAAATAAATATAGTAACATGAATGTAAGAGAGTTTGAAAAAAAATTATGTACTTTAGTTTTAAGTGGGCTGTACATAAGCTGGTAGTGGTGGTTTGGCTGTTAGAGCTGTGGCATGGGAAGGAGGGTGTGGATGGGGGTGGTAAAACTTTTACTTATATTGAAGGGCTGCATTTTCTTCATGCAGCAAAAAGCATGGCAGCCCTGGTAACACTAACCCTAGCTACACCACTGGATTAGAGTTAACTATTTAATAAGAGACGGGGTATTTCAAGTGAATGTTATGCTTAATTTCATCTTTTGACTCCATGATTTGGCCAACAACATTAGAGTGCACTGACATGAAATATACACTTTCAAAGTGGAAATAGTATTAACGGGGGAGAGCAGTTTGTACTGCTTTCAAAGCCAATAATATTATCCATCTTCAATTTTTTTAATCAATCCACAAATATGTGCATTCGACACCTGTCCTTGCAAGCATTACCATGACAACCAGAAAAAGACTAATAGCCTGAGACTTCCAGTATGCCAGGCAGATGCAGGTTGTGAGAAAAATGTTAGAGAGGACAAAGTCATTATGAACAACAGCCAAGAATAGTTTTTTTAAAGGACTGTGGGCTCACATGATGACACATATTATATAGTATTAGTACTGTGCAAGTACCTCAGTGTCAAGTCTCCACAGCATTACCATTTTTACGTTTTTACCATTTTAATGCAGTCCCAGCTTCGTTAGCTTGGACATGTTAAGGAAAAAAATAATAAAGAATATTTCGTTACTTACAGAGTAAATTTAATGTAAAACATTGCATAGTTTTTCGGTAACAGGTTTGTCGTATTCAGGAGATATATTGGAAGAGGCTGTTCTCAAGATGTCTTCCAAATGTTCATTACTCAAACATGAGCGTGGCTTGCATTTATTAATTTTCATTATTGAAAATGTATTTTCACATAGAAAAGTGTTTCCAAACACACTTAAAGTTTTTAGTGCAACTTCGTTAAGATTTTTGTACTTCTCACTGTCCAGATTTTTATAAAACTCTTGCAGGCTGATCTCTCTGTGCTTGCTTCGGTAAAATGCCGAACATTGTAGTTTGATATGCTCCTGCTGCAATTGAACCGGCATGTCCTCGGGATTTACAGAAAATGGATCTCCAATTAGTTTAAACTGAATTTCTTCTTCTTTAGAAAGAGTGAGTCTTTTATCAAATTATTCTATCAAAAGATTAATTTCATTAGCAAATTGTTTTCCCAACTCGACGTGCTTGTCCTGAGGAATATGCTGTGCACAGGTGGTGAAGTGACTCATTTCACCATTTAGTAACTGGGTTTGGAAAAATTTCATTTTTAGTTTAAAAGCTTTTACTGCTGCAAATATTTCAAATGCAAGTTGTTGCTTACCTTGAAGTTGAATGTTAAGGCCATTTTTGTGTTGTTACATCACAAAAGAAGAAGAGGTCATGATTTCAGGACTCAGGGAATTCTTTTGAGAAAAGCTTGAAAAAGCCCTATGATTGAGTCATCTTGAGTTTATATGGTTGACTATTTTGACAACAACCGACATAACATGTTCTGAATGTAACACTTGGCTACACAAGGTCTGCACATGTATAATGCAATGGTAGTTTATTTGCCTTCTGATAAAATTTTCAAGAAGCGCAACTGCTCCTTTATTAATACCCGTCATACGCCGGGCACCATGGGTACAAATAGCCACTAATTTGATAAAATATAATCCCAATGTATTTTTTAAGCACTTTATCACTTCATTGAAGATATCTTTTCCGTCTGTGCGACCTGAAATGGAGCACATTCCAGCAAATTCTTCGGTAATTTCACAGTTTTTGTCAACACCTCTAATGAAAATGAGAAGTGCGTGTGTGATTAAATATCGCCACGAGGAAAGAAAATGTGTAGTGAAATATTTACACAACGATAAAAGATGAGCAGATCTAATTTAAATTTTTTAAAAACAGAACATTCCTTTCAAGTATATGTGGGGAAAATTTATTTTTAAAAAAAATTGATTATTTAAAATATATTTTTTACTGTATATATACCTATCGTAATATTATAAATCAATAAGCTAGGGAATAATAATATTAGTTTATAATATTATGATTTTTCACCAAAGTCTTCGCAGGCCACAAAGTGAATGCTCCCCGGGCCGTATGTTGTGCAGGCCTGCTTTAAAAACGAGTTAAAAGCCTCAAAGAAAGCTTTCGATATAAACCAAGACATGTGAGAAGAATCAGTTTAGGATACCGGATTGTGGCATTCCTCTGTACAAAAAGGCTCCATACATAATGAACTCAATAGAACAGCGGCTACAAAGACTCCATACAATATGAACTCAACAGAACAGCAGCTGTAGAGACTCCATACAATATGAACTCAACAGAGCAGCGGCTACAGAGACTCCATACAATATGAACTCAACAGAAAAGCGGCTACAGAGACTCCATACAATATGAACTCAACAGAACTGCGGCTGTAGAGACTCCATACAATATGAACTCAACAGAACAGCGGCTTCAGAGTCTCCATACAATATGAACTCAACAGAACAGCGGCTGCAGAGCATAAAAGACGTGCCAGAAAAGTCTGGGTTAACTCTGCACCTTGTGATGTCCCATCAACCCCCTGCACTTACTGCACAATTACTTTTCATGTCAGAATCTGTCTCATCAGCCATCTGTGTGACCACAGCCAAATTAAGAATTAGCACGAATACAATTAAAATAGTCATGGTTAATTTCGACCGATATATTTATATGTATATATTTATATAATATATGTTTAGAAAATGAAAGAGAACACACAACCCTTAATTTTACCAGTCCAAACAATTTTCCAGCAAAAGCAAATTATTTAACACTAAAGCATAAATACTATAACTATTTTAACTGTTTTTTAACTCTTTCACCAACACTGTTGGCAAAGACAGGCAGTTCCAGCTCATATCAACAAGAACACAGTACAGGAACTCCTCATTCCTGCCAAAGACAATCACGGACTGAATCAAGCATCCAAGAGGAACAGTTGAGGCGACAACACTTGCAACATTTGGGTCTATTGTCTCCTGCCTTTCAATCCAGAGTTCCTGATACCATCGCTAAGTAGCCCTTGCAACCAGTGAAGTATCCTCTTCAAAACCATGCACAGAAACATCGCTAGCCCTTTCTACTAAACATAGGAGCCAGAATGATCAATACACTGACCGTGGGCTCTAAAAATATATAAGAATAAGAAGAAGACTGTCCCTAGGACTCTCTAACTCTATCTTATATTTTGCTACTATTCTTTTGTAAATGCGTCAATACTTCCCTATGCCTACTGAATGTCTTTAACACAAGCACAATGTCTTCCTTCCAATATCTTTACCCTCATAAAAATATATTAATATTAATATTTTTTAAAACTCAAATGATATCCAGGTTTTTAAAAAACCAGTTGTACATCCTTACACCACCGTGCATACCCACTGAGGTTCATGTATCCCTGTTGAGAAACACTGCTCTAAATTATATATTTTATTTAAAGTAGAACAAAATTGATAAAAGCTCAAAGTAGAATGATTTAAAATCTTAACCCATGGCTTGGGATGGTGTGAGAGAATGACATTTACTGTAAAAGAATTAAAATAGTTACCTTAAATTGGCAAAACTGTAAATACATGTATGGTTTTCTTTTCTCAAAAGCATTTTCCAATTTCTCAGTAACTCTTGGGTGAGTAGTAAGGGACTCATCCTTACATCTTCTGAAACAGTCTGCAGCTGTTAAAAACTTTACATAGGTTGTAAACTCTGCAAACTTGGATGTAAGATTTGATAACTTAGAGGATCTAACTCCTTTACTACAATCCAGTCTACAGTCTGATAACACATTTTTGTAGTTCCTATAGTCTTTTATCGCCCTCTCAATTTTTGTTGCACAAGAATACCACAATTGGTTATCATAAGCCTTAACACCTTCTGCATAAAGTTGATCAAAAGTGACATCATCTTCTTTTAAAATCGTATCAGCTGCTGCTTTAGCATTACCTGTAGCTTTAATTTCAATTTGTTCAGTGGTGTCTATTTTAACATCAATTTCTACAATGTCTACATCTTTGTGAACAATAGTTTCGGCTTCGGCATTGAGGCCACCCTTCGATGCCAATTGTGAATCTTCGTTTTCAATAGATTGAGAAAGTTGAAAAACATTCACAGCCGCTATCAGTATCAGAATCACCAAATGTTTACAAGAAGGCATGATAAGTATAAAGTATTGCTCTTGAAGGAATAATTGCGATGCGCTACGGATACTAATTATTTGCTGCGATACTTTCGCCTTCCGAAAACAGAATGTAGGCTACTAATAAAAAGAAAATCACTCCACCGATATTGAAATAGCACTATGGCACCACTCACTCAGTATTTCACTCTTCGGTCACTTACTTCCCTTGCACGTAGGCAAGATTATAGAACTTTCTACTGAATTTACACTCAGGAGAGTTCATAATGATTCATTGTTCTCTCACACGAGAGAGCTGCGCCCACTTCCTTTCATTCATAAAAAGGCTTACCGTGCCATAGTTCAAAGGGTTGGAACCAGGATCAGTGGCGTATCTAAGAGGGGTGAAGGGGGCGACTGACCCGGTCGGCACTATTTAAAAAAAAAAAAAAAGGAAGTAAATTACTATCAGTAGAGGCCTATATACTGTTTGTATGTGGGGGGTGGACAATATTTGCAGTTTACTCCGGGCAGCATTAAGTCAATAAGTATAAGCGTCACTGAGGTAACACGCAAGCCGCAAGGTCGGCAAAGTCACATCGTGTGCGTTGGTTATTTTAGGAGAGGAAGAATAAACATTAATCATATTTATTCTTAACTGAAACTAATTTCTAAAAAATGTATTTTATTTTTTAAAATCTCTGTATTCAGAGCTTTGTAAAGGATTTTTTTTTTTATGGCTGCGACTATTCGCACCCGGGTACCAGAAGTGAGAGGTTGGGATTAAAAAAAACTATTTAAAATATTATTGTAGGGTTTGTAAGACAAAATGAGATATCAAATGAAAGATAATTGAAATGGACTATATGTTTGTAAACTTACTTCGTCGGTTTAACTAAAATAAACTACCACAAATGACATCTGAATAGCATTTAGTCTTATGGGACCAGGGTGCGAATGGTGGCGCTGCGTGTCCGGGGCCACTTCTTCCTTAACGTAATAAATTTCTTACTTTTCCCTTTGAAGCAGCAAACAATAAAATTCAGAGATACATGTTAGTTTATTGAAACGTAACCTTTTTAATATAATGACATGTGAGGTAACAGCTTCTCATTCTAATAAAAATGTAGGCCCTATTACACTTAACGGTTTTGTCCATCAAGTATCATGTCCAATTATGAATTTGAGCAGCATTTAATAAACAGCAATAAGAATAACACCTTAGTAAATCATCGCACTTTATCAGCAACAATCATTACAAATGTACGTAATTAATTAATTCATTAAATAAAATGAAAACACAACCAATCATAATCTTTTTGTTTTTAATTCATGCTATTTATGTCTATTTTTGGAACTAATTCATTACTAAATTATTTTTAATGTTTATTTAAACATGGCCAAATTGTATATGAATAGCATAATTATGTAAAGGAGACAGGAGATATTTACTAAATACACATCACATTGGAAAATGGCGTCGGTGCGCCGTCGAGCGCGACAAGTCCACCCTACTGGTCTGCCACGTCACGAAGAGGCAAAGCCCACGTGGACGCCCCCAAGTTTCCTCGGAGACGCAATCTGCTCTCGCAGAACCAGGGAGATATAATTTACTAAAGGGGTCAAAATATATTATTAATGTGCTTTATTGAAGCATTAAAAATTCACCCAAATATTTAATAGTTGGAAATGTTTATTTTAAATTTCAGTGTTCTATACTATAACTTTCTTTAGGTGAACTACATACAAATGAATGAATAGTTGGCGCTTTGTAATAATACACACACCCGCATTATTTATATTTTAAAACTGAAGATTCATAAGGTATTTTCTTTCTTCTAAAACTAGCAGGGCTATCCAAAAAATTGAATTGATTTGAAACTTGGGAAACGTGCTTCCCATTGCACTTTTGCGCAAAGTTAATTGTCAATAGATATTTAAATATTCATTTTAAGGCATATAGACAGCAAGATGCCCCTAGAAGCTTGAGGCTCTGGTCAACCGCCCAGTTTGCCCATGACTTACGATGGCACTCATCCCGGTCAAACGGAATTGTGGAACATATAACAAACCGAGTAGACTACATTTTCATTTATATGTAAAAATATTCGGGAGAGGGGGGGGGGACACGTACACAAAAATAAGGTAATAGAGGTTTTCAAATCAATAAACATATACGATTTAAATGTTGACTACCCCTAGACGTGCACACCTTTATGGTTATCAAAATGCTCATTAAATGTTACATTTTAAAACAACTGCTGAACGCAGTTTTTAAGTTAATTTGCGTATTACTAAGTATTCAACGGGGACTTATTAACTGTATTTCTAATGTGTTTTCAATGAAATGTTGGCTTTATACTGCCTTGGCAATACTGACAATAGGGTAAATCAAATTAGAGACCGACCGAATTTCGGCTTCGGTTTCGGCGCCGAAAGTGGCCATTTTATCACTTTCGGCCAAGTTTCGGTTTCGGCCGAAACTGAAAAGTTAACTTTCGGCTTTAATTCGGTTTCGGCTGAAAGAGAAAAGTTAACTTTCGGTTTTTCTTCGGTTTCGGCCGAAATTGACTTAGACTTTCGGCCACCGGCCGAAAGTAACTCTAGTTTTTGGTCATTTAATACTCAGTGAAAGCGATATTTAACAACAAATTAAGCGTCATTTAAGAACAAATTAAGCGATCGTTGAGAACAAACTAAACGATATTTAACAACAAACTAAGGGATATTTAAGAGCAAACTAAACGATCTTTAAAACAAACTAAGCGATCTTTAAGAACAATCTAAGCGATCTTTAATAACAAACTAAACGATCTTAAAGAAAAAACTAAACGATTTTTAAGACCGAAATAAATGATCTTTAAGAAAAAAACAGATATTTAATAGTAAACTAAATGATTTATAAGAATAAACTAAGCGATCTCTAACAGAAAATTAAATTTTCTTTAGGAACAAACTAAAAGATCTTAAAGAACAAAAAATTATTGATCTTATGGAACAAAAACAATTATCTGAGAACAACTAAGCGATATTTATGAAAAAACTAAGCGATCTTTAACAAAATCTAAGCGATCTTTAACAACAAACTAAGCGATCTTTATGAACAAA